AGACGGGGTTTCACCATGTTGACCAGGATGGTCTTGATCTCTTGACCTTGTGATCCACCAGCGTCGTCCTCCCAAAGTGCTGGGATTACAGGCTTGAACCACCGCGTCCGGCCTCTTTTTTTTTTTTTTTTTTTTTTTTAAAGAGAATCTCCCTCTCTGTTCGTTATTGAGTTGGACAAAGCAGGGGTCAGTAGGCTGTAGCTTGCGGGCCAAATCTGACCTGCTGCCTATTTTTGTAAATAAAGTTTTATTGGAATGCACCCAGGCTTATTTGTTATTGTATTGTTTATGGCTGATTGTGATGCTATGCTGAAAGACTTGAGCAGTTGTGAGAGAGGCTGCACAGCCCACAATTCCTAAAATATTTGCTGTCTGGCCCTTTACTGAAAACCTTTCCATGGTATAAAAGATTTGCCTATTTCCACTAGAGAGTCAATGGTGAAATAGCAAGTACAGTCCGATTTCTTGATTTCTTTTCAGAGATCCAAACCACAGACTGACCTTCTCATTACAAAGTTATTTTGTTTTGTCTTTAATATCTGTAATCTTGATGACTCTTGCCTTCTGGCAGAAAACATCTAAAGTATTTAATGGCTGTGATAGAAAGCAAAGAAGGATAAATGTCTTGAAGTCTTTAGCCCCATAACAAACGTTAGACACCAGAGGAAAAGTGCGGGATCTGAATTGTGGTGGGACGTGGACTGAACTCAGAACTGTAGCCCCCCTGGAGTACTGACCGAAGGCAAAGGTCGGACTTTGGGGTGGGTTCCTGTTGACTCTAGAAGGCCATCTGCAGAACACACACAAATCAGGTCACTTATACTCCTGTATCATCACATTTAAAAAAGTATTCATGTCTTTTTTTTAAACCACAGATGCAGGTCTATAAAGCATACATAAACGATCAAACTCTTAGGATATTGTGATAATCTAAAAATGTCCTAGGGGAAAATGAAGCAATGTGTAAATATTCCGTTTTATTATCATCTCAGTAAAGATAGTTGTGTGGTACTTTCAGGACTTTGGGGGAGATAAGGAAAGAAAGAAGCCCAGAGATACTAAGTTCCTTGCACAGGGCCACATCATCCTCAGTTCTGCTAACTCAATCAGCTTGACTTGCAAGTCAGTGTCTTTTTTTATTTTTTATATTTTTAAATTTATTTATTTATTTATTTATTTATTTTTTGAGACGGAGTTTCGCTCGTTACCCAGGCTGGAGTGCAATGGTGCGATCTTGGCTCACCGCAGCCTCCACCTCCTGGGTTCAGGCAATTCTCCTGCCTCAGCCTCCTGAGTAGCTGGGATTACAGGCACGTGCCACTATGCCCAGCTAATGTTTTGTATTTTTAGTAGAGACGGGGTTTCACCATGTTGACCAGGATGGTCTCGATCTCTTGACCTCGTGATCCACCCGCCTCGGCCTCCCAAAGTGCTGGGATTACAGGCTTGAGCCACCGCGCCCGGCCGTATTTTTAAATATTTTTTAAATGGTGAGGTTTCACCATGATGGCCAGGCTGGTCTTGAACTCCTGACCTCAGGTGATCCACCCACCTCAGCCTCCCAAAGTGCTAGGATTACAGGCGCGAGGAAAGCCAGTGTCTTAAACACTCTGCTTGCTCTGTAGCCTTGCTCTCTAGTGAAGGGGAAGCTTGGCAACTGTAAAGTCGAGCTCATGAACTGTTTTTAGAATCCTCCCTGCAGCTGGGCTCAAAAAGAGTCTTCCAGGCTGGCTTCCCTTGATGCCTGTACCCTCAAGTCAAACATGAAGCTGTTTTCTCGATTTGTCTCCCGGCCCCAGGTCTTTTTTCTGGTTTTGCTGGGACGCTGCTGAGTGAGAACTGAAGGTTGCCTTCACACTTCTAGCTCACCTTCTTTGTGGACTATACATGGTATGGTCCAAGAGGAATGGGCTTGACAAAGATGAGAACAGTCGTGTTCACACACTCATGAATATCAAAGAAGAGGCACCAATTAAGTCTTCTGGGAAATGTTCTGAACTGACAGTCAGTGAAGGAACAGCTGCAATCCCTGCACCTCGCATTCTGCTTAGCCCAGCACGATAGCCTTCACTGAGAGTGTGCTCAGAGATAAGCCTATATGGAGTGTTTGGTGCCAGAGTATCTAAGACCTTGGCCTATCCCTGCCCGGGATAGGGTGGCAAAGACAGCAATGTAGCCTGCATGGGAGGAGCTGAGGCCGCTCCAGGGCTGGTGTTGGGCACCTGCAGAAAATATCCTGCTGCTGGCAGGGCTTGACAACCTGCTCCCCTTTTATTCACTCTAAGGCCCAGGACAGACATAGGTAACTCTTTTTTTTTTTTTTTTGGAGATGGAGTTTCGCTCTTGTGACCCAGGCTAGAGTGCAATGGCGGGATCTCCGCTTACCGCAACCTCCGCCTCCTGGGTTCAGGCAATTCTCCTGCCTCAGCCTCCTGAGTAGCTGGGATTACAGGCACGTGCCACCATGCCCAGCTAATGTTTTGTATTTTTAGTGGAGATGGGGTTTCACCATGTTGACCAGGATGGTCTCGATCTCTTGACCTCGTGATCCACCCGCCTCGGCCTCCCAAAGTGCTGGGATTACAGGCGTGAGCCACCGCGCCCAGCCAGACATAGGTATCTCTTAAAGGCCCCTCCAGCTCAAAGGTTTAAAATCATCTCCTAATCCTTGATCTTGTAAAGAGGGATTGTCATTAGCTACCTGAGGGGATGGGCCTAGAATAGCCGGATGAGTGCTCAGTGGAAACCACTTCCCCCTCACAAAGCCATGTGAGGCAAGCAGCCCCGCCTCCATTTCACGGAAGAAAGTAACTCAGAGAGATGAACTGATGAGCCCTCATCATATAGCTTGTAAATGGTACAGCAGGGAATCCACAGCTCTGGAGGCCAGGTTTCTACAAGGAGCTCCGAGGGAGGCCTGGCAGGGAAAGACAAGTCATACAAGAGCAGGTGACGGCCTGGCCTCCCATTCAGCTGTGCAGGCGGACCCCTGTACTAAAACCTTGCAGGGGCTGAAATTCACCGGGGGTTCTGCTCCCCACACCATGCGCCCCAGCAAGGCGCTGGGCCCTCCAGGGAAGACTCTAATATGCACAGAACAGCACTGGGGCTAGGGCTGCCCTGCTTGTGTGAGTGCAGGTAGTGAAGTCAGGTGTGGGGAGGGATAGCAGATCCACTCTTCCTGGATGATGCTGGCAGCATTATGGGCCGGCCTGATGACTACTCCCTTCATACTGTAGGTTTTGCTGTTGTTGCTTTGAGTGTCCTTTCCTCTTCAGCCACTCCTCTGCATCATTGAACACCTTTGTGAAGTCACTCAGACGGACATTTACCCAGTAAATGTTTTTCCAAGACCAGGGCAAGAGAGGAAAAATGGAGGATGAGAAACAAGAGCATATGGATGCTTTCAATCAAATTCATCTCCTAGGCCGGGCGCGGTGGCTCACGCCTGTAATCCCAGCACTTTGGGAGGCCGAGGCGGGTGGATCACGAGGTCAAGAGATCGAGACCATCCTGGTCAACATGGTGAAACCCCGTCTCTACTAAAAATACGAAAAATTAGCTGGGCATGGTGGCCCGTGCCTGTGATCCCAGCTACTCAGGAGGCTGAGGCAGGAGAATTGCCTGAGCCCAGGAGGCAGAGGTTGCGGTGAGCCGAGATCGTGCCATTGCACTCCAGCCTGGGTAACAAGAGTGAAACTCTGCCTCAAACAAAAACAAAAACAAAAACATCTCCTAATGTAATTAACCCTGATTTAATTAATTGTATCTCCTGATTTAAAAAGGGTATCAATGTTCCAATTTGCAACATTTAAAAAACTGATGCACACAAAATGTAGTGTTGGCCCATTTCCAAAGATCACAGCAGAATGGGGTTTTAGGAAAGAAAAACAAGCACGTATTTGGAATGTTCTGGGCCCAGGAGTAAGCTAGCACTCGAACTGAAGACAGAACAATTAGTGATGGATGTACTCCAATTCACTGAATTCGTCAAAATCATAAAACCCTCATCAACGTGGGGTACAAATACAGTTCTGTCTCTTCTTTTTCAATCCCTTTCGCATCTACCTCGTCAACAGTAAACCCCAGGCCCTCTTCTTTGCCTCCATCCTTACTCTGAATTGTCTGTGAGTTCAGGGACTTACAGTTTCAAGATACCAGGCCTGGAGCCTGACCAGTGAACTAAACATCCACTCCAGGCCCAGCCAACCCCAGGGAAGAAGCCTAGGGGTAGAGGGAGGAAAAATGAGTCCAACTCAGGCCGGTGGCCATGGTGAGCTGCGGGTAGGGGGCTCAGAGTGGTGCGCCTCTAGCATTGTGCCTGGCACAAGAACGACAATTTATTTTCTGAATAAATACCTGGAATTACTTGATTCATCTCTGGGAACGTGGAGTTTGCCCCAGCAAACTCTTGGTCCACAGGTCCTAGCTTCCTTATCTCCCCCCGTGATCGGCCTCCTTCAGTGAAGTCAAGAGGAACAGCAATTAACCCCTGCGCTGCTGTGGTGTCCCCAGGGCCAGGTGCCACGTGAGAGGCTCCGGGCTGGAGCGAGCACCTGAGGGCCCCGCGCTCTGGGCAGGGTGGAGGGATAGCGACCTGGGGCACCCGCTGCGTGCAAGCCCGGCTGGGGCGGCTGCCAGCCACCGGGGAGAGGTGCTGCTGGCTAGAGCCAGAGGGGATCCCCCGCAAGAAATATATCGCTTGCTGACACTTTTACGACCCGGGCCGGCTTACAGGACACAGACCGGTGCACAGCTCCGCTCTCCCCTGCCCAGCTTGACATCACATGCTCTCCCCGGGGCTGCCACTTGGAGTCAGGAAAGCCTATATATTTCCCTCCTCAGATAGGCCTAGTGGCTCTCGTCAGGTGCAGAAAGCCAATAAATCACCAGCGAAGTCTCGGTGTATCTATCGGTCAGGAGCTTGTCATCCTCCAGCCTTGATCCACATGAAAGCTGGGAGCAGGAGGGACGGGGGGCGGGCGGGGCGCGGGCACCTGGCGCGGGCACCTGGCGCGGAGCTGGCGGGAGGGCTGGGAATCTGCAAACGTTCGCAGTTCGGGTGGACTGCGGGGGGAGTTGACACCCCCCCACCCCCACCGCCTGCGCTTCCTTTCACTTTGAAGTTCTGTGGCTCCGCACTGGAGCTGGGAGGCCAGTCCTCCAGCCTGGGGCTTTCAATATTCACATCACGTCCTCTTTGCGGCTACAGCGGAAGTTCAGGCGACCTCCCCGCAACACAAGGTGGGGTGGGGGGTTTCGAACCACAGTGCTGCGTCTCGAATCGCCAGGCGTGACCAAGTAGTTGAGACATGACTGGGATCTAGGGTGCAGAAGGGCCCTCTTGGGTAAGGTAAGTTCCTTTCCAGTTCTCAGTGTCTTCCAGATAGCAGTATAGTATCTGTGGAATCCGATGGACCTTGGTTCTAATCCCACCTCTGCCACATTCACCTTTTGGACTTTATTACGTTTTCTTACACTCTGCACTTTCAATTTCCCCATGTCTAAATGGGAATACAAGCCCTTAGTTCACAGAATTGATGTGGAATTTTTTTTTTTTTTTTTTTTTTTGGGACGGAGTTTCTCTCTTGTTACCCAGGCTGGAGTGCAATGGCGCGATCTCGGCTCACCGCAACCTCTGCCTCCTGGATTCAGGCAATTCTCCTGCCTCAGCCTCCAGAGTAGCTGGGATTACAGGCACGCGCCACCATGCCCAGCTAATTTTTTGTATTTTTAGTAGAAACGGGGTTTCACCATGTTGACCAGGATGGTCTCGATCTCTCGACCTCGTGATCCACCCGCCTCGGCCTCCCAAAGTGCTGGGATAACAGGCTTGAGCCACCGCGCCCGGCTAAGAAACAGTTTTTTAAATAATCTCCCATGTGAAAGCCATGGAGAACTTACCCTCTCACCTCTCTGCCTTCAGTTTCTTCAGCTGTAAAACGAGGGGCAGGAATACCAGTGTTTTTCGATTGGGGGCCATCAGAATCTGGGATCAGGGATGTCCTGCACATTGAACAATCTTTAGCATTCGAAGCCTCAGACATTAAATGCCAGCAGACCCACCAGGCATTGTGGCAATCAAAATGGTCCACACGTTTCCAAAACCCTTGAGCTGAGAACCACTGGATGATCCTGTTCCCTTTCTAGCTTTAATATTGTATCAGTTGAAGAGTCCTGGTTCAGGTACTAACCAAGTACCTCTGCTGTGACTTTGGCTAAGCTCGTTAACCTTCTTCTTTTTATTAAATCTCCGTATCATGAGAATAATCAAACTTGTCCCATACTGTCGATATTACAGAGCGGTTGTAAAGATATGATGACGAGAAATAAAAGTGAATGTGGAAACATGAATCTCTAAGGTAAGGTACCATTATTATTATGCAAAATGTTTTTTTTTTTAAAATAATTTTTATTGTGTGAAAATAAATAATTACCCTTAAATTTTAAGAAATAATTACAATACCCTTTAAATCGATTTCCCTTATTCAGAAAAAAGAAAACAGAGTAAAAGGGTCAATGATTTATCCAAGGCTGTGAAGCTAGAATTTGAACTCAGACTGTCTGACCACAAAACCTATATGCTAAGTAGTGTCCTCTATTTCTTGTTCATGTGGGTCAGAAAGGGTTTGTCCCCAGATCGGTGGACTTTCTGACAATGAATGAGTTATATAGGAAGCTAACTATTGGATTGTTGCTTATCGGGGCATTCTCTCGGGGGGAGCTAGTGATCTGAAGAAGGGCTCTCATTTTTGAAGTGGGGTGGGCCTCACTCTGTTGCCTGGGCTAGGGTGCAGTGGTATGATCAGAGTTTACTGCAGCCTCCAACTCTGGGCCTCAAGTGATCCTCCTGCCTAAGCTTCCTGAGTATCTGGGACTAGAGATACACACCACCATATGCCTGGCTAATTTATTTCTAATTTTTTTAGAGAGGGAGTCTCACTATGTTGTCTAGGCTGGTCTTAAACTCCTGGCCTCAAGTGATCCTCTCACCTCAGCCTCCCAAGTAGCTGGACACCCAGCTGAGAAAGGCTCGAAGCCACTCTGCTCAATTGCCTGCCTTAATGTGACTCTCATTTTTTTTTTTTTTTTGTCTTTTGTGCCTTCTCCACTTCCTCTGTGAAAAATGAAACCTTCTTAAGGTAATTTAAATATTTTTATATCCCATTACTTGCACACAACTCTTTGTTTCTGCGATCTATTCTAAACACACACACACACACACACACCCGTAGAACCAAGGTTGCCAGATTTACCAAATAAAAATAAAATATTCCCAGTCAAAATTGAATTTCATATAAACAATACACTTTCTAGTATTTCTCAAATATTGCATGAGACATACTTACATTAACAATTACTCATTTTATCAGAAATTCAAATTTAATTGGGTGTCCTGGATCGTATTTGACAACTCTAGTCTTATTTATATTCCAGTCGTTCCCAGCCTTGTTCTGCCTCTCAGACAGACAGCCAGAGAGGAGTAGAGCTCTGTATGAGACATGGCAGAGACCTCCAGAACACAGACGCCTCTGTCCTAAGGGCATTTTCAGTCTAGCTGAGAATGTAGTGTAGAAGTCACAAGAGGCAGCCACTCGACACTTGACTTGCATCTCATGCCAGCACCCACTGAGAGTCTCGCTGAGTCCCTTCCTCTCCTGCTACCCACATCCACTCAGTCCCTTACTCGCCTCTCCCTTCCACATCCACTCGGTCCCTTACTCGCCTCTCCCTTCCACGTCCACATCCACTCGGACTCTTACTCGCCTCTCCCTTCCACATCCACTCGGTCCCTTACTCGCCTCTCCCTTCCACGTCCACATCCACTCGGACTGTTACTCGCCTCCCACTTCCACGTCCTCTCAGATGTCTTCTCTTCTGCATCTCCATTTTGGTCCATTTCCTCAACAATTTGCATCTGAGGGACTGCAACTACCTCCTAACTTGGCTTCCTATTTCTATTCCTGATCTTGAGTGTTCTCTACCCTCCACGTGGGCACCCGTCAGATTTTGCTTTCTTTTAAAATATCATGCTTTCTCTGATGAGTGTTACCATCTACGTTCATTACAGAAATATTCTCATAGGAATATTATAGAAAATTCCCTTTGGAATTTGGGAAAAAAATTTGCCAAGTTCTCATTTTCTACACCAGAAAAACGCAAGCTTCGAGATCTGGCCTTTCCTGACCATCCTGGCTCTTCCTGACACAACACAGCTTACAGCTCACAGTCTGTCTACACAACCACGTTCCAGTTGTCTAAATAACAAGCCATGCTTTTTGCCTAGGAGGCCTTTGCAAAGCCTTTTTCTTCTTCTCCCTGGAAGTGGCTTCTTCCATTAATTACACTCAGTACCCAGTTCCAATGGCATTTCCCTGAACTTGGCTTCCTGAAACCGACTTAAAAATAATCTTAGTCCTCCTACAGTCATCTGAGCTTACACAGTCCTTATAAATACCTTTCTTAAAAATATTTTAAAAAGTCATAATTATTTATTTACACATATATTATCCCATCTAAATTTAAGATCCTTAAGGATAGACACCATGTATCTCTCAAGCCTAGCAAAATGCTTCATGCAATTAGGAGCTCAGTAAGATGTTTGTTAATCATTAAGTGACTTAATTAATGGGACCATTTCTTTTCCTGTGTGTTTTATGCATTTCACGGATGGCCTCACACTAATTGTTCTGTCAATGAAATGCTGGTTTAAATGCTGCTGTAATTTAACACTTGACAATCCAATTAGATTACAAATATCTGTGATCCTCCCTAGTGTAACTTTCAGGGCTAGCCATAAATAACTGTTGAATGGTTGAATTATCTTCCTGCAGACCTAGAGGATGGTAATAGGTCCCAGATAAAGATTCAGGGACTTGGGTTCTAGTCTCTCCTTTTTCAGGATGAGTTAATTACCATAGCTCTCTGGGTCTTGCTTTCCTTGCCTCTAAAATGTGAGGGTGAGTCCTCTGAATTTTTAAAGGGCAATGAATTTATAAATAATCTCATCAGCTGTGACTTGTTAATAAGCTGCACCTTCTCTGTTCCTGGTGGATAAAAGGAACTAATGTTTGTATGTTTGTTGTGTACCTGATATGTGCTATTCAGCCCCCATCCTAGGAACTTTCCGTGTTTCCGTATTCAAGACAGGAGGAAAGCATTATGTGGCACACGTGACATCTGCAAATCAGTGCATATTCTTCTGCACCCTCGTCTACTCCTGTGTGTTGAATATTAAATATTGAGTTAATGAATTCACCGAATGGGTTGATTAAAATGGATGGCCTTTCCCGATGTGGGTGGGCCTCATGCAATCAGCTGAAGGCTGAAAAGAACAAAAAGGCTTACCCTCATGTGAGTAAGGGGGAACTCCTTCTGCCTGAGCTCTTGAGCTGGGCCATTGGTCTTTTCCTAACTATGGACTAAATTGAGGTCTTCATGGGTCTTAAGCCTTCAGACTGAATTATACCATTGGTTTTCCTGGGTCTCCAGCTTGCCGACTGCAGATCCTGGGACTCCTCAGCTTCCATAGTTGCATGAATCAATTACTTTAATAAATCTCTCTCTCTCTCTCTCTCTCTCTCTCTTTCTCTTTCAATCTGTGTGTGTGCACGCGCGCGCACACACACACACACACACACAATCTTGTTGGTTCTCTTTCTATGGAGAACCCTGATTAATACAACCTGTCAGGCAATGATCAGCCAGCCAGATGTCAAGGGCTCTTGCCAACTTTAATAGCCTGGGAGAGGAATTCAAAGCCTGCTCTGCTTCTGCCCCATCCATCTCCTTGGATGACCTCAGCAGGGCCAGCCTTGGACTTCAGTTTGAAACTCCCTCTCCCTTGCCATCTACTCTCTGTAGATATTTCCCCCTGCTAACTGTTTAATATCCTTCCATTCTGATTTAGAAACTTCTTGCAGAAAAGGGAGCTACCTCAGGTTTCCTCGCTATTATAACCAATATATCATCATAGATGATAATAACTGCACTATAATGTTAGTGCTGACAGCTAACGTTCATTAACTAAGTGCTGTAAATGAGTGAACTCATCTGCTCTCACAACAACTCTGTGTAGTAACTACTGTCAGCCGCATTTTATAGGTGATAAATTTCAAGCACACAGAAGTTGATTGCCTTTCCCAAGATTCAATAGCAAGTGACAGAGCTGGGTGTGAATTCAGTGAACCTGATTCTAATCTTGGGCTCTTGAACAGATCATCTTTAATGTCTCATTTCACACTGGTATTCCCCAAGTCTCTAAAATCATTCATACAAAGGCATGAGTTGCCTGCCTCTACAACTCTGTGTCAGGCCCCAGGTTTCTAGGCCTGCACTGCTTCTAGAAAGGATCAGAGGTTACGTAAGCATGTGGGAGCAGAAAGAGACTGGGTCCAAGAGCCACAAAGCTTAAAACTGAGCCTCCACTACATGGTATGCCATCTCTGGGTACCTAGGCTCCTAAACTCTGAGTCTCAGTGTTCTCTTCTCTTAAATGGTACTAATCATGATCATGCCTGCTTCTCATAACCCACAGCACTATTCTAAAGATCGGAAGATCAAGGGCATGTGAGAGTGCTTTGTAAATTGCAAAGTGCCATACAAATATGAGTTATTATTGTTTCCAGCTGGAGTTGTCTGGGCCTACTTCAATGAGGGCATTATAAATGATTGATAAAACTTTATGTGGTATTTGTGCTTCAAGGGGGAACAAGTCTTAAGCCAAATGGCTAAAACTCTGCTATGGAATGTTGGTTGCAGCACCCTAGACAGAAAGATTTGGGCACATGAATAGGGATTGGGCCCAGATCCAGGATACCAGTCAGCTTAACTTAGATTCCAGGGTACAACGTGCTGTAAAATGTTGATTGCTATTTAGTTATTCACTGAACAGATCACAGAAAGTAATAATAGAAAATGTGTATTTGAGTGCTTACCCTGTATCACACATTGTTCTAAGCATTTTGTATGTACATGTTATTTAACCCTAACAGCAATCCAGTGACATAAATATGTCTATAGAGAATATGACGATTCCCATTTTCCAAATGAAGAAAATAAGGCTCAGAGAAGTTAGGAAACTTTTCCAGAGTCACACAGCTAATAAGCAGTGGTAAAGCTTGGATTTGAACTTCGTCATTCTGACCCTAGAGCCAGAAGGAAGAAAGGATGAAAGGAGGGAGGAGAAAAGAAAAGAAGGGGAAGGAAAGGGAAGAGAAGGAAAAAGGAAGGAAGGAAGGAAAGGAGGGAGGAAAAGAGGCAGGGAGGGAAGGAGGGAGAGAAGAGGGAGGGAGTGGGGGTGGGGCGCGGTGGCTCACGCCTGTAATCCCAGCACTTTGGGAGGCCGAGGCGGGTGGATCACGAGGTCGAGAGATCGAGACCATCCTGGTCAACATGGTGAAACCCCGTCTCTACTAAAAATACAAAAAATTAGCTGGGCATGGTGGCGTGCCTGTAATCCCAGCTACTCAGGAGGCTGAGGCAGGAGAATTGCCTGAACCCAGGAGGCGGAGGTTGCGGTGAGCCGAGATCGCGCCATTGCACTCCAGCCTGGGTAACAAGAGTGAGACTCTGTCTCAGAAAGAAAAAGAAAAAGAAAAAGAAGAGGAAGGGAGGGAAGGAAGGGAGGGAGGGAGGAAGGGAGGGAGGGAGGGAAGGAGGGAGAGAAGAGGGAGGGAGGGAAGGGAGGAAGGAAGGAAAGAAGGAAGAAAGGAAGGAAGGAAGGGAGGGAGGGAGAGGTCAGACAGCAGGCTGGAGGTGTAAGTAGGGTCCAGGACATGTGTACCAGGATGCCTTTGTGACAAGCCAAAAAGCTCAGGCTTTATTTTGTAGGTGACAGAGACTCACAAGTGGTTTTCACCACGGTCAGACTTGTAATTTAGACGTCTTCTCTGACTAGAGTGGGGACTGTGGATTTGACAGGTGGAGGGCAGGGTGAGAGAGAGAAGAATGGTCAAAATTCGATTCCACTCACCCAGGTAAATTTTTACAGAGCCGAGGGGCTATTTATGAGGTATTTTCAGAAACATTTAGTGATTCACTGAAGTCGGGTGGCAATGGAAGTTTTCTGAGTTGATTCCTGTTTCTTAGTTCAGCAACGAGAGACTGATGTGCTGCTAACAGAGGCTGGGAACACGGGAGAGGAGCAGTTCTGGGAAGTGGATTTGTCAGAAGCAGACGAGAACAATAAACACAAATTCTGGGAAGCAGTGAGGGATAGAGATGGTTATTCGTTTGGTGAAAAAAATTGTTTATTAGATGTTGACATAAGGCTAGGTACTAAGCTTGGAAGTCAGGAAAAGACAGGTCATGTTCCAAGAACAGACTATCCCCACATCCCAGTAACTTAATGCAAAAACAGTGTTTATTTCTTAACTCGTATTGTCAAGTAGGTGTTATTGAGGGAATCTGTTCCCCATCATTACTTAGGGACTCAAGTTAACAAGGTTGCATTGTCCTGTAACTTCAGTGTCTAAAGCATGACTGCTCTCAGTGACTTGGGAAAGAGAAGAGAAAGACTAAAGAATCACACCATGGAATATTATGCGGCCATCAAAAACGATGAGTTTGTGTCCTTTGTAGGGACATGGATGAACCTGGAAACCATCATTCTCAGCAAACTGACACAAGAACAGAAAATCAAACACCGCATGTTCTCACTCATAGGCAGGTGTTGAACAATGAGAACACATCGACACAGGGAAGGTAGCATCACACACTGCGGTCTGTTGGGGGGAAATGGGGGAGGGACAGGGGGTGGGGAGTTGGGGAGAGATAGCATGGGGAGAAATGTCAGATATAGGTGATGGGGAGGAAGGCAGCAAACCACACTGCCATGTGTGTACCTATGCAACAATCTTGCATGTTCTTCACATGTACCCCAAAACCTAAAATGCAATAAAATAAAATTAAATTAAAAAAAAAAAAGAATCAGACCTATACCTTTTACTGCCTCAGCCTGGAGGTGACACTGACCATGTCTGCTCACATTTCATTGACAGAGCTGATTTTATGGCCCTACCTAACTGCAAGGGCTGAGAACTGTAGAGGTGTGAATGTTACCTGTAGTGAGCAGTATCATCTCTGCTGCGTGTCATCAGCATAAGGGAGGTGATTAAATCTGGGAGAAAAAGGACAGGCTTAATCAAGGAAAGCCCACAGAGTGAAAAGAGAATGAGTGGTCAAGGATAAAACCCAGGAAGTCACCTTCTATAAGTAAAATAAGGAGGAGAGGAGCCCAGGGATTATATTGAAAAGTGACATGAAAAGAGTTAAGGACTCCCAAATGCCCATCAATGATCGACTGGACAAAGAAAATGTGGCACATATACACCATGGAATACTATGCAGCTACAAAAAATGATGAGTTTGTTTCCTTTGTAGGGACATGGATGAACCTGGAAACCATCATTCTCAGCAAACTGACACAAGAACAGAAAATCAAACAGCGAATGTTCTCACTCATAGATGGGTGTTGAACAATGAGAACACATGGACACAGGAAGGGGAGCATCACACACTGGGGGCAGTTGGGGGTGTAGGGGAGGGACAGCAGGGGCTGGGGAGGGTCAGGAGGGTGGGGAGGGATAACATGGGGAGAAATGCTGTATATGGTATACACCTAAAGTAAAATTTAAATAAAAATAAAGAAAAGAAAAGAGTTAAGAACTATGAGTCAGTAGTGTCACTCGGGCCAAGGAAGCAGGTCTATACAGAGGTACAGAGCAGCAGATGCAGTCTGGATGAGCAGTAGGATAAAGACTGAAGTCTCCACTGCCTTTGGCCATTGAGAGGGGGATGGAGAATGTCCTCATAGATGTGTCTTTTGGCAGTGAATATTCACCCAGATCTTTGTTCTAGAAAAAACAAAACAAAAAACGGTCACTTCCAGAGCTGTATGAGACAGGGTTGTGTTCCTGAGGCCATAGCACCCAGAAGCCTTCCGAAAGGGATAGTGGCAGCTGGGTTGGGCGCAGTGGCTCACACCTGTAATCTTACCACTTTGGGAAGCCGATGCGGGCAGATCACAAGGTCAAGAGATCGAAGCCATCCTGGCCAACATGGTGAAACCCCACCTCTACCAAAAATAGAAAAATTAGCTGAGCGTGGTGGCATGAGCCCGTAATCCCGGATATTTGGGAGACTAGGCAGGAGAATCGCTTGAACCCAGGAGACTGTGGTTGCAGTGAGCCAAGATTGTGCCATTGGACTCCAGCCTGGATGACAGAGTGAGCGAGACTGTGTCTCAAAAAAAAAAAAAAAAAAAAAAAAAAAAGTGATGGTGGCAGTTCAAATAGGTAGTCCATTTTTAGCTTACAATATAATTTGAAATCTTTAATAAATTT